ATATATTCTGGCCTAATTACTGCTTCACTTTCAGTGGTGATGACGATAACATACCTGCATATACAGTAGTCACAGCAGTGACTCACACCAGTTGCACGTGACTCATTCTTAAACTAATCTTTGGTATGGAGTTTGGTCCACAGGAAGTCTGTCCACTGTTGGACGGGCTTCCAGCTGCGGAAGCTCAGAGCTCTTTTTATTGTGTCTATAGAAGGTTTAACAGACAGCACTACAGTCAGTGGTGGTGAAGCCCACGGCCTGGTACAGACTCCTTCAACATCCATCACCTGCCACTCAGTCATAGTGTCTTCAGGCATTTGCGTAACCATTGAAATAACCTAGAAATTTTGAACTTGCAGATGCAGTTCTGCTCCTACAGAGTTACTATGGTGATGGAGGAGAAAAAGAACAGACTCTCTACATGTGAATAACAAGTGCATTGTTGTATTTCGTTGTTTTCATATCTTTTAAATGTATAATGGTTAATTAAAGATTGAAATAACCAAATAATCCTTACAATAATTTACATTTATTCTTGAACCTTTAAATCTCTTAACCTCACGCAGGAAATATTTTTGACATCTCTCATTACTACACTGATGTGAGGTCAGGTCTACATTAGTGCGACAAACACCTTTAAGTTGTCCTCCAAAGATGAGTGTCTAATCATGTAAACCAGGGGTTGTTAACACATGAGAGCAGGTGAATCTGTGCGTGATGCGTTCACTGCCTGTTTCCATCCTTCCCTTTTGTTTGTGCTGCTCACAGTAGCAGCAGATAATCAGGGTGCATTCATTAGGAGATGTGACTGAACAATAGAAATGATTTCTACTCACATTTCAGTAGGTAGATTACCAATAACAGTCTGTAAGTTGCAAATGTGGTAGATATTGGCAGAAGAGGCGTTCCTGTATTAGAACCTCAGTGTCCTTTTGAAAATAATGATGGAAAACGTTTTTTTTTATGGATTTAAACTGAAGCTGCAGTATGTACCTTTCTGTCAGCTCTCTGAGGAATTCAGAGTAATTACCTAGTACCACGAGTGCCGTTATATAACAATGTCTGCGTCACTTGTAGTTTGTTATAGTTAGAGTTTTGCAAAACATGCACAAAGTAACATGTTGGTATATAAAAAAATACAATACACAGTACAAAGTTAGATATGGGTTTGGTCTCTTAAGTTTGAAAATGTGCTCAGTGGATTAAATGTGAATAAGTGAAAAACAAGTTTGTGTGTGTCTATATATATATATTTATAAAATAACATTCAATGAATTAAGTTAAAAACTATGGTTCTGCTGAGGTCACGTGGTCTTAATTCAGATAATTTGTACTTATAAGAACAATAACAGATCAGAATATGTTCATTAAAATAGAAATGGTGTACAATGTCTGTATATGCTGCCTGCATACATGCTCGATACTTAGTTACTAAATGTGCTTTTCTAGAGACGGACCTGTTCTCATGACGAGACCAAAAAGTCATTATAATTATTATTACCTCACTTCTCAAAACCCACTAATTTGTCAGCAGCAGCTAAGTAGACAGTTGGGAATGAGGAAAACAAAAATCAGTTTAATTCTGATTATTTTCCCCCTTTGTACAACTTCAATTTGTTCAGATAATTAAAGTCTAACTTTCATTCTGTTCCGACAGGATTTGCAAACTTATTAAAGCTACTGTGGAGGAGACTTAACAAGAGCTGAGGCTGCTTTATACTGATGCTGAGGCAATCAGACTTATTTAACTGGGTAGGAGGCCTGGTGTCAGGTGGACGTATTCGATCTGGTTCAAGTAGCACAGCTACAACTCTGCATTAGTGAGTTGTTTAGATACATACACCATCAGACCACAGAGTCACATGAAGTCCTTTATGGAGACATTTCTGCTATATATATTCTTCTCCTTGTTGTCCTGAAAAGAACCAGCGTGACTTTATCTTAAAAACACACTGTGGCCCTGATGTTTTAGAGGACGGCTCTGTGTGTGAGCTGCACACATACACGCGTATCTGTGTGAGAGGGTGATGAAAAGGGACTACACTGTGTATTACGCCCATGGCCTCAGAAGCCTTTGTGTGTGCACTTGTGTGTTTGACGTGCAGGTGTGTAGTGGAAACCACTTATTCTGTCAAAGTGCTGAACATGAACTTTTGTCAGCACTAAAATCGACTTCTGAAACATTTCATGGAAGCTTTTTTGTATTTTCAGCCGTTCTATAATGTGTTGCCTCCCTCCACCAGCGAAGGGTCAATGTAGCGTCTCCCCTTCACCTCCTTTACTTCTGAAGAAAATTCAGCTATACAGTACGTGCCGCAAGAATAAAACCAGGGCTTGGACGATTCTGTTTCGTATTGTTTCACACTAAATGAATTTATATAGAGGTAGAGCTGGGCTTAATATACATTTGATTGTTATTTTGGCACCAAATATAAATAATGTATATTGAACAATAAAAAGCAGTCATCGTTAAAATGATCTGACACATTAAGCATTGTGTGTAAACTATTTTTTTTACCAGGCATTTGGTTACGTGATCGCTTCCACCCTTTCTGTATTCTGTTTCTAGTTTAAGGGCTTTTAGAAATTCAGCGTAAAAATGACAGAAAAAGACCTAGACAGCAGACACAGACGAGCAGCAACAGCTAACTAATAAAGCAAGAAAGAAAATCTCAGCCTGTGGACGTCACGGCTGTGTGTCCTTCCGTTTCTCTCTCTGATGAAGACGTTGATCACACCCACCTGTGGGCTGTGCTGTTTACCTCATTAGCCTCACTCATCTCACCTGGCGTCCTGGGGATATAAACCTCTCTGGCTCTCTGTCCTGGTTTGTTCATTGATGTTGTTTGACTTCTGCTTGTTTTCGACTTGTGTTTGCCCTCGTTCATTTCTCTGCTTGTGTTTTCAGTCTGTGTCTGTTTCCCAGCCAAGTTTGGTTCATTTTAGTTGTGTATTTACACATTTGTCATTTACTGATAGCAATTTTTTATTTTTAGTTGATTGATTGACTGAGCAGGAATCCAGGGTTGTGAGACTATTGAAAAGCAGGGTAAAGAACATTTTACCCTGCAGAGGAAAAGCAAAGAGATTGTTACCTTTAGTCCAGTGAAGTTAAAAAAAATCTCAGTGGCAGTTTAATAATGGCCACCCGTTCTTTAGCCGGAGTGATTTCCCTGGTTGCAGCAGCTCTGCAGAGAATCTAGTCCTCGTACTTTTCACTCTGCCCTGTCACTAATCCCCTCCTGGGTAGACAAATCTGAATTATTCAGAGGCTGAATAATGGGGTGCACAGAAAATCAAGAATCCCATATACAAAAAGAAAGTCTGGTTGTTAAAATAATATATATAAAAACTAAAGTCATTAAGACCCAAAAAAAGATCTGCTAGGAAGAAATTAGCCAATTTAGCAAACAACACTTAGATGGGTTTGCAAAACAGCAACTAATTATTAAGTCAGGCTGGAATTATAAAAACAGAGGATTTAAACGAGAAAGAAGAATGTACAGGTCCAAGGTCTGCGGCTGAGCAGAGAACTTATCAAAGAAGGATGTTGTTTACTAAATGTACAAAGGAATTAGTCTTCAGTCTGGGCTCGCCTTGACCACAGTCTTTGGGGATAATGTTTTCCATCGCAACACATGAATAATGGAACACAAGTGGGTGAGAAATTGCCCATGATTTATGACGGGTCTTCAGACTCTGAGTCCACTGCACTGAAGGTGGTTATACGAGGTGTCTGTGGAGTTCCCACAATATACTGCTCTCCAAATTAAATTTACACATCTGCAGATGATATATTGTGGAATTTCTCTCAAGTATACGTACAAGGCCTAGGTAATTTTACAATAAACAGTGTTTCATTTGCGCATATTGAAAAAAAAATAGTCAGTAATTTATTATTGAAATTATTTTCAAGATACAACAAACGTGTTCAGGCTTTATAATGGCATAGTTACATATAATAACCTGGGGAATAAAATCGAAACAACCTGCTTATTAAATAATTGTTCAACTTGTACAAAATATTTAATTTTTAGTAATGTCTTCAGCGCTGTTTTTACTTGGCAATGATATTTTCTCCACTTCATACATTTGAAAAGGTTTAAAACAGCTGGTTTGCATAAACAGCTCTCCCTGTATTCTAAACTGTTTGTCTTTTATTTGTCACTTTCATAGATAAGTCCACAGCAAATTTTATTTTTTTATATATATATATATTTGCTTCGGTAATTGTTCTAACCTGTTAGCAGATAACTAAGGTAACTTCTTATTAATTTTGACTTTGACCAAACGAAGATAATATGTTTAGAAAGTCTGTATTAACAAACTGTCACAGTCTTTAAAAAGTGCTCAAACAAAAATATAACATTACCTAATATTGTATCCTCAGATTTAGGTGCAGAATGTTTTGATGGAAAAAATGTGATGAAAAAAACCCAAACATGTTTTGTATTATTTTGTTTTCTTTATCCAGACCTAAATCTCTTAATCATGGAAATGCAGATATTTACTCTGCTTTTCAAGTCAATACTAAGACCTTAGCTGAAATGTGAGTTCAATACAGTTCGTATTTAGAGGATAACAGCTTATCCTCATCCTATGCCGGCTGACTTATTCTTTCACAGAGAAAATCCCCTGAAAAGAGGAGCTGAGATAAGTTTTACATGAGGAAGAAACATGAGTGTGAATATTTATTACCCAGAAAATGCTCCCCAAAGATTCCAGAAGCATCACAGAGAGAGGTTTTTGGCGACATCAACCAATCATTTCCGCCTGTTACGTGCTAACATTTACTTTAGAACGAGAGGAGAAATCTACTTGAATAAACTTAAGAAACAATTCCCCTGCTGATGTTTCAGACGTCAGTCTTGAACTAAAATGTCATCAAACTGCATGACACATGAAAGTGATTAGAATGACATTCCTACTGTTCCCCAAATCGTGTTCAGAGGGTGAAAACCACAGAATAGAACATGATGGCATTAGTATTGGTGTCTTACCTCATCTTGGTAGATAAAGAACAGCATGATGGACAGAATCTCCAGGAAGAAAATGAGCAGGAGGAGGATAAAGAACTGTGGAAACACAAAGAGAGGAGACAAAGTCATTTAACAAACAGAATGTGGGGCAATTGTCACAAGTGGGAGAAGAGAAGAGTGGCTCTATAAAGACTGAATGAGGTGTGGAGAAGAATTACCAGGAAAAACATTGGACCAGTAAAAGATAATAGTAAAAAGAAACATTCAAAGAGGGAGTGTTTTTTTTTAGGTGCACATGAATAGATAGAACTTCCAAAACTGAAAGTGATTTAAGACGAGATGATGAAAGAAGATGATGTATACCTCAGTTTTCCCTTAGAGAATACATTATGTCCTCTCTGGTATATGGACTCATTCTCCTACTGTCTTTATTTATTAAATAAATATCAGATTGTTATCTGACTATCAGAGATGCCATAGTAAAAATAATTAGTATTATTATGAGACATAGAATCATGAATAAGGTGATGTCAAAGGTCAAAGGTCATGTAAGTCAAAAGCCAAGCAGCTGACATTTGACTGAGCAATAGTTACACACGAGAACTAAGTTATTGGAGAAAAGAAATAAATATAAATGTGATTAAATGAAAGCAAGATTATCCTCCTCCAGAGCAGCTGAGGGAAATAAATAATTGATCTGAGAAGTGTCTTTTCTTTTCTATTTCACATCTCACATGTCTTTATCTTCATCTCCAGTCCGCTTTGAAAATAAGCTCAAAAAGAACAGAGGAGCAGCTGCTTTGTCTTTGTCATTGTTTTAGTTTGTTTGGAACAGGTTTTATAGAAAATGTTATTAAAACGGTAAAGACACATTTAAGAATGGAACTCAAATGGTATTGAGTTTGGTCATTTGGCATTCATGTTAATCTGGTGTATCTCTAAAATGTTGTTTATGGACAGGAGATTTCTTGTAGTGAGACTTCCCTTTTACCCTGCTTAAAGTGTTTGAAGGACTTGACTTTGAAAGGATGCTGATGTGAGTCCTTTCTTCAGACGTCACAACAGTAGGTATTTTTGTTGAGGCATATTTAGCCCAGTGATTGTGTTGGAAGATTTTACAGATATTTGTCTCAACTTGGTGCCAGCAATAATTGAACAGAGGACAAAGTCAAACATGGGGTTAATGTTTTGTCAGTGGGAACACTGACGTCCACCTGGATTTGAACCCTACACTGGCTTTTCTGTTTTATCTTGGGTTAGGTCGTGGTAAGGCATGCTACTAGATTCAAACCTACAACCTTACATGTGGAAGACAAATTCTTATGTGTTAGTACCAAACAGGCATGTTTCAGGAGTAGTGACTCTCACTTGAGAGCACATGAAGGTGAAGGTTAGTGAGTTTATTATTTTTTTCTTTAACTCAGCACTCAGACTTCTGTTTGTTAGTCTGTCTGAGTTTCTTATGAGGCGGCCTCAGTGTTCTGCACTTAAAGTCAAGGACCAAAGTTTTTGAGAACTATGGTGCAACAGATTATTTTTATTTCATGCCACACCAACTGTGTTATATAATTTACCTTCATAGATCCCTATTATAATTTTATATGACAATGTGATTACTGTCCTTGCAAGTGGGCACGGGGTAATGTCCAACCACAAAGACCAGTCTCTCAGAGTTAGTGGCTACGTCTGAAATGTTCAACACTGGTTTCATTATTAACCGTATCAAACATCATGACTGCAGTTCCATTGTGTTTTCCAGGCATTTGACTGACAGGAGATGTGAGATCTGCTGGTTTTATAGACTGACATGGAACAGTCAATGAGCTGTCAGAGGCCCCAGAGGTCTGCTGGCAGCTGCAGCACCGATCCATGACTCACTGATCTCAGAGAGGATGAAAGTGTGCACAGCTCCACAGGCAGGTGAGAGACCAGCTCAGTAAAAATAATAATAATAATAACAGAAATGAGAGTAATGTTTGTATATTTATTTCTTGTATTCTTTATGTGTGGTGCTTTTCCTATAGTTCCGCCTTATCGTATGAGCATCAATATCTGGCTTTGGAATATCAACAACTATACATGTCCAAAGATTTTTTTAGGTTTTAACAATCTTACACATCCTTCCCCGTGCTGACAAAAAAAAGATATCAGCCTGAATCAAGCAACAAATGGAATCAGATTCAAAAACACATGTCAAAAATCTGGTCTAAAAAATAACATTTTGTCTGTTTGTTCTTCTGTGACCCTTCTATTGATTCGTGGAGAAAATGTTCTCCCTCCCATCGTGTCAGCAGAAGAAAGAGTTCAACAGTGCAACTTCACAAATAGACATTTAGATATAGCATGTGTGTGCTTAAGAAACACAGGAGAGAGTTGTGTCACCGCTGGCATGCTTCTATTGGATTTATTATCTATCCTCAAATAATCGATTTTCAGCCACTAGAAACAGGCAGACCATGAATCTCTTGTGGTCTGACTAATTTTCCCTTTCCCTGACCTCTAATGGGCATGTGCTGGCGAACAGATGCTAATTGTTGACAGAGAGAACCAGCAAACAGGGCTGACCTTTTGCTGGCCAGAAACACATGGTAGAAACCTCTCAAGAAAATGAGTTGTTTTTGTAAACTGGCTGTGCCCGTTTACATGGGTCACTGCAGCAGATAATATGAATGGAAATGTGGGCACAAGATGTTGTTTTTTTGCCAGATGCAAACTTATTATATTGCCAACCTTGGGTCATGCACTGGGAAGACACCGACTGTGGCTTATCGATGGCTGGTTGTGATGAGAAAGTTTAGGTTTCTAGCACAGACACATAAGCATAGCAACCTTGGCTGCTAGAAACGATCCTCGTAGTTGTAAAGAGTCATAGTGATTTATACCTGCCTGAGTGCATTGGTTGCATTAGTGGCATCTTCTGTACAAAGTCAAACAGCACACATGTGAAAACTGGGCACAGCCATACATCTACGTGCTGAAACACATACAGCCTAACTGTGAATCTAGGCCAGTTCGCCGCTCTGGGATGTAGCTGTGAATGTTGGACAGATCTGAATTAAATCAAATAATGTGACCTGATATAAATTACAACCATATCAATCTATATGTCTCAGTTGGTCTTTGTCGGTTTTTCATCTATCATTATTGAGGTGTAACACTCACAGCTGCAGGATTATCTGGAGTATTGTCACAACAAATACTCTATGTTGGCAGTGTTATAGTTACAGAAATCCTCAGTCACTGATGTTAGCTGTTGAACACATTGGTCGACCTAAAACAAATCGTGTAGTTTTAACCATGAAACTTGAACGACATAGATACGAACACAAACAACATTGTTTTTGTAAGTTCTTGAATGTTGTTTTAATGTGAACAATTTGGACCCAGTCTCACATCATTCGTCGCATTCAAGATTTCCACTGTTAACGCCTGTTTTCTTCTAAGAAAGTGATCACCTCATTACACCAGAGGACCTAAGATGGTCGGAGGTAGCACTTAACTTTGTAAAATAGCACCAAAAAAGCAATTGAATTAGCTAAAGGATTTTACACTGCTACAAAGAATGGATTACTGTAATGGAATGGTCCACGGCTGCAGTCACTGGACTAAATGGAATCTGGGAATACTAGTTGTGTTTGTGTACGAGTGTTGTTGTGTCACTGCAGAACTGTGGAGTGGGGTGACAAGTAGAGCGGAAAGCTCTAAATAATAAGTAAAAATAAATCAACAAATAAGTAAAGTGTAGGTGTGTGTCGTTTTCCAATAATCATAAAGTTGTTGTAAATGGACTCTAACATTATAAATGCAGTCCCTCAGCTGAAATAAAAAACTTGAAGAAAGGCTGGTTTTGTCTTCTGCTCCCAGGGTAACTGTGATAAATTATCATAAACAAAGACCCGGGTCGCACGACAAAAGAACCAGAACAGACTCAATATGTTTCTCCTGAATTGTCATTATTCAAACTGACTCACTGTACATTATCCTCTTCACAACAGTGGCTTCCAGCAGCTAAAAACAGCAAAGATTTATAGGCGATTGGAATAAAAGGAAACCAAATGTGGCCATAAAAGGTGTTTTATAGAGCAGGAGGCGGTGTGGCTCACTAAACTGTTACTGTCAAATAACTCCTCTTCATATATTCAACACATTTTTAAAGTACACTAGAAATGTATGTAGCATACAAGTAAGTTTGATATTTAAGATTTTTTTGCTTTAAAGAATTTGTTATTGCAAATTAAATAATTGCACAAATACTTTCAGTAGATCCCTAAATCTGCCTTAATATTCTAGACCTTTGAGCTCTGGAAAATCATGGTCAAACTTTAGTCATCAGCAATAAAGCAGCAATTTTTTTAATTATTATTATCATTTCGACTGAGATGATGGACAAACCAGATTACAGCAAAAGTTGTAACTCCTTATATGGTCATCAAAATAAGTGGTCGCCGCTACTGTAAAGTGTTCTACCTACATAACAACACCCAGCTGTAGAACATCCACGTGAGTTCTTTCTAGTTCCTGGCCTGGATAAATTGAAGTGATGCATCAGAAAGGGCATCTTGGGTAACGCCTGACTCCTACCCCTGAAAAAAGGGAGCAGCCAAATGACAGAAAGTCTGCTCTCCCTGAGTGGACCAATGAGATAAAGATAGTACTGAGACGCCTAATGGTGCGTATAACCATGTCAGTCCATTGCCACAAATATAAAACCCAGTAAAATGGCCCTTGAGGACTTCTTTATTTCACTCTCAGGAAACCAGCTTCTAACTGTTTTTTTCTCTCCATTGTTCTGTGAGAGTTAATGAGCCACAGCCATGTTGTATCTAAGTGAAGCCTCATGAGACATAACAAAAAAAGACGCCAGGACACTGCAGGACAAAGGGCAAAACACAACTTTACAGGCTTAATCATGTTTTTCCTCCAACTTGTATTTTTATCACAGAGACACAGAGAAATTTAGAGCTTGAATCTCTTATAGTTCTATGTTGTTTTAACTAATTCTGTCACACAAGACAGTGTAATATAAGGCCTTCAACATGTGTTTACTTTGTGTTATGACTTGTTTTGCCACCAGTGTTGACATCTGTTTAAACTCA